AATATTGGCAGAAAGACTTAAAAGATATTTGAATAATTTTATTCACCCTGATCAAAATGGGTTTCTGTCAAAGAAACAAATTAAAGATAATATGAGAATAATTCTGGACACTTTGGAATACTATGAGGCACGTCCTGAAAAACAAATGGCTTTGATATTTTTAGATGCGCAGAAAGCCTTCGACAATGTGAACTGGCGATTCATTTTATTACAGCTGGAGCAGATGGGCTTTGGTATGAAATTTACTCAAGCCATAGAAGCTATATATCATAAACAAACAGCAAAGGTAATGACAGAGGGAGAATTGACAGATTCTACTGATATAAGGAAAGGAACAAGACAAAGCTGCTCACTGTCACCTCTGGGGTTTGGAAGTGTTAAATAGAAATATTAGAAAAGAAAAAGATATAAAAGGGATAAAAATTAAAAAGGAAGAATTTAAGCTGCAAACATTTGCAGATGACCTCGTTTTCATTTTAGAGCATCCATTAGAAACAGCATTTAAATTGTTAGAAAAGATAGAGGCATATGGAAAAGTAGTTGGTTTGAAAATAAAGATAAAATGAAGATCTTGACAAGGAATATGTTGGTAGGACAAAAGGAAAAATTGGCAGATGTTTTGAAAATCCAGGTCACAAATAAGGTTAAGTATTTGGGGATACATTTGACAGCAAGATGTAGTACACTTAAAGAGAATAACTATATTAAACTCAAACAACAGATTGCAACAGATCTGGCAAAATGGGAAAAATTACAATTATCACTAATAGGGAGAATATCAACAATTAAGATGAATATACTACCTAGAATTTTATATTTGTTTCAGACAATTCCAATTAGGCTAGGGAAAGACTACTTTGAAGATTTAAATAAAATAGTGTTGAAATATATATGGCAGGGAAAGAAAGCAAGAATAAAATTAAAACTGTTGCAAGATGCTAGAATAAGTGGAGGATTTGACCTGCCTAACTGGGAGTTATATTATCAAGCAACAATCCTGATGTGGGTTAAGGAATAGATAACACTAAGAAATACTAGATTATTGACATTAGGAGGACATTATTTGTTGTTGGGGTGGCATGCTTTCCTATGGTACAAGGTAACTAAAATGCAGGGGTATTTTAGAAGACATTATATACGCGAGGCTTTGTTATTAAACTGGGAGAAGACTAAAAAGCAATGCTATTTAAAAATAGCATTGTCTGGTTATCGACTATTGAAGCATTTTCTTATACTATACCTTATAAAAAGGAACAAACAGATATGGTGAAATATTGAATGAAAAGAGTGAACTTAAATCTATGCAAGAATTAGAATAACAGGGTATAAAGATGAACTGGTTTTCATACATGCAAATATGCTCTAGATATGATAAAGATTTTAAAACAGAAGGTTTTTATGATAAACTGACTGATTTAGATAAGATTTTGACAGGTACTGATGAAAAGGTGATTAAAAACTATATGGACATTTTTTAGAAATTAAGCTAAAAGAAGAACAAGTTACAGAAACAATGATTGCTTGGGGGAAAATTTTTGGATATGGGATTGATTTAGAGAAATGGCAAAAATTGTGGTCTCAAAATTATAAAATGACAATGTCAACAGCATATAAAGAAAATTTGTATAAGATGTTTTACAGGTGGCACTTACCCCCAACAAGAATAGCAAGAATGTTCAAGAACAAATCTGAAAAATGTTGGAAATGTCATCAGACACCGGGCTCATATTACCATATGTGGTGGACGTGAGCAGAAGCTAAAAGATATTGGACTAAACCCCACACATGGTTGGAAAAAAATGACAAAGAAACACATAGACTTGAAATCAGAGATATTTTTATTGGGAATTTTACCTGAAATATACAGTAGGGAATTGAAATATTTGATTATAAATGTATTAACAGCAGCTAGGATTGTATTTGCTAAAAATTGGAAAAATGAGAAAATACCAATGCAGGAGGAAGTTATTAAGAAAATAATGGAATGTGCTGAAATGAGTAAATTGACATTCGAAATTAGAGAACAAGAAGATAAACGATTTTATAAGATTTGGGATCTATTTTATCAATGGTTAGAAAATAAAATAAGGTAATGAAATATGTAGAATTTTACAACATAAAGAGAATAGAATGATATAGACTATAATATAAAGATGTATTATTATTGGATGGATTTAGGATGATAATATGAATTGTTATGATATAAACCAATTTAAAAATATGGAACACCTCGCATAACATGAAGGAACAATAGCACAATCAAATGAATGATTAACAATGATAATAATATACTTAGAAATATTTGATTGATATTATGAGAATATATACAAATATTTGTAAGTGAGGACTATGGAGAGGGAGCACAAAAAAATCTGTAACCAACCGACACACTGTATGTATGTAATTGGAAGATGGCTTTATGTTTTTATGTTTTGTTTGTGTATGCTTGTCTAAAAATAAAAAAACCTTTATAAAAAAAGATGAATGAATATGGATGGATAATCAATGGATGAGTATGCCCGTATATAAATACTCATACTTTGATTATTCATTTATATCCATCTATTCATATAGATACATAATCATTCAAAAGCATGCCAGTTATCTATTAGATGTTCCTTTACTTCTCCTTACTTTCCTTGCATTGGGGTTATTTGGGAAAGCCTATGAAAACAATTCCTAATCACTAAACATGGTTAACATTGTTTCTCCTTTGATGAGAACTCACTCCATGAGTCAAATGTGTACATAAAAAAACCTGGAGTTGTGGCAAACCGGGAATAAATAACTTGGAGCATTCTAGATATAGTAGCAATAGTTCTCATGATTTCTGACTGCCAGTTGGGATTTAAACATCTGAGAGTGGGACCAAATTTCTCCTTTCTATGATAAAGCAATACAATTTACAGCAGCAGGACTGTCATTGTTTTCTTGCAACAGAGGAAAAAAGGCACGTTGCTTTGACATGATTATGTGTGTGAGCTGAAAAACACATACAACTAAAAATAAGCCATTAGTCATTCATTTTGGGATTTAGTTGTCTGAGACCCCCTCCCCGATCTCTTTGGTGGCACCATGGAAAAACAGTCTGTTAGTCATTTGAGGCTTATTATAATTAGAGGGCATTTCTTCTTGCATCCTGTAGATTACTACTGTGGTTTTACTTCTGCTTCAGATGGCCTGATGCTAAATGTCTTAACTATTTAAGGATCAGATGCATAAGCTAATGCATATAATATTTATAAGAAGAGGTGGGCTGTTACAAATTCAATAAAAGTCCCTTATTGGGAAGCCATAAAAAAACAGATCTTCTGTAGTATGCTTCAATTTGTAGAGAGCCAATGCAGATTTCATCTGTAATTATCATTTTACTAGTCAAATTTTATTATCAAACTTCATGTTTTAAAATATGTTGTAAAATAATATTTATAGAAAAATAGTGATAAAATTAAATTCAGGCAATGTTGCCTTTTCTGTTCCATATTATAACAAATCACAATTGAGATAGAGATTAACAGCTTATTTTTTTTACAAGAGAAAGTGGTGAGCAGTTAGTACTTTATAAACTATAGGCTACTCCCAGTGCGATTTTTGTAATATTTGGAGACATTCTATCATCAAAAAATGCAAAACACTGGCTGCATATTGAATTTTATCAGTATATTTAAATAAAAAGAATTAGATACCTCTAAAAAAAAAACCTAAACCAAATCAAAGGGGAGCATGCGTCATATCATAGCCATCAAACTGAAAAGTGTTCATTTTTGGCTAGAAAAAGCTGTGAAAACATGTACAATAAACTCAGAGAGCTATAATAGCTCAGTTATTCAAGTATTTTCAAGTAGTATGAAAAACAGTAAATTTTAATATTAAATGATATACTAGTCTGATTGTTCCTAATCTTTAAGGGATTTAACTAGAAATAAATTATTAATGGAGAATGAAAGATGTACAAGCAGATATGGGCTTTGGAAATTTAAGCACCAAGGAAGCTTTATTGCAGAAAGTTTCTAGTCTGGGTTAACCTTTAATAAGAATGCTGTTTTTTCAACAGTTATCCACAATCAACTTAAACATTAAACAGAGGAGCAAAGAAATACCTTTGTGCTTGCCACTGAGTGTGACACTTTCTACCTGATGCTTCAAACTATAAGCTGGGAAACTAGAAGTGGAATGGAATGATTATCACCTGATTAGAACTGATAATGAAAGAGCAATGTCTTCAGGCTTGGAAGGAACAGAAAGGAGTGCTACAGATGCTCCCTCTGTTAGGAGTGATATATTTAATACTATATTTCAAAATAGAGGATAAAATTTGCATTTCATACCTTTAAATGGTCACGTTTACATCTGTCACCACCTTTTGTGCTAAGTGCTTGGAAACTGTAGTTCAGGGTGTTACCAGTTGTAGTTTGGATGGTCCAGTTGCAATATACACCTGGAGGATAGTTGTTAGGATAGTCCAAACTCTCCAAAATGCCTTGGGAATGGTTGGCAATTATTATTCCCTGGCAAACTTGGAAGAAAAAAAATTAAAAATATACATTTTCCATATCCTATATTTCTGTTTTAAGAATGTAAAGAATCAATTGGTATCATTATGTTCAATCAGTAGTTAGGTGTTTATATGATAATCTTACAATCTCACATATTTTAATTTTAAAATAAAGTACAGAATTCTAAAGCCCAAAATAAACCTTGAGAATGCAAATAACCTTTAATGTAAGAATGACTTTCAAAAAAGTATCAGAAACATTTTCAGATAAGAATCCCACCTATTGATCTTCTCCAACAAATTCTTTTTTGTCTTCCATGCTCTTAATAAATGTCATTTTTGGAAAGACAAGGTTGTGAATGTAATATCTAGACTACTCGAAATGATGTTGTAGCTTCAGGCAGTTTGCAGATGAAAAAGTTTTCTGAGAAATAGCAAGGGACTTTGTGATTTGAATAAATATCCTGAAATAATAGATGGTGGAAAATAAAAGAATATCCACACATAAAGTGGTAACAGGATAATTTAAGGATAATTCTGGATAATTTAGATTTTTTTTTCAAGTACACCGCATCTCCTATTTTATCCATTTTAACACGATAGAGGGAGAGTCTGAAGTAGCAGTTAAAGGCACTCATACCAAAGGTGCTTTTTCAGGAGGCAACTGGATTTTATTGCTTTTTTGAAGATGTTTTGCTTCTCATCCAAGAAGCTTCTTCGGCTCTGACAGAACAGTGGAGAATGGAAGGATTTATATTCCTTACAGACAGCTGGTCATTTGCATCTTTTTAGAGGATCTTTAAAGCACTTGGAGGCTTGTGTCCTCAGGATCACCTGAGTGATGCTCCTGGTTCCTTCAGTCTGCAATTTTTCCTCTGGAAATCCATTCCTATTCCCACACCATTCAAAGGGTGTCCATCCCAAATTGTATAGCTAAAAGTCTAAACAATGCTCTAAAAGGATGTAAATTACCAGCTGTCTGCAAAGAAAATAAATCCTTCCATTCCTTACAATCCTGTCAGAGCTGAAGAAGCTTCTTGGATGAGAAGTGAAACATCTTCAAAAGAAAAAAACAAGAAAGTCCAGTTGCCTCCTGAAAAAGCACCTTTGGGACAAACATAACCTGGATGATTGAAAGTCTCTGCAGACTTTTAGTTAAAGGCACTTTTAAATTCTAAGCCCGCCTTAGGAACACAAACTACCTGAGGGCCTTTGCGCCGTTGATTCTCTAAATCTGGGAAAAAAGCAGTTGCAAATTACTTCTGCCAAATTGTCAAGAATCAAGGCTAATTTGAACATACATGTACATGTGTGCGCACAAACACACATGTACACATTTTTATAATGATAATAGTGCAATTTTTAAAAAACCTACATTGTCCTGAATTTCTAATAGAAAGATGGGACAATAATTAGATTAGCCAGGCCTCCTTTATCTTTTCAATTCAAGATAATTTGCCTATTATCCTAAGTGTATCACACACTAAAAACGGTTCTATATGTTCATTCAAATATGCTGCAAATGTATTTGAGCTGGTAGGACTTAATTAAAATATTTCAACTTACCTTGCTTAAAATGAGCAAGGAAACCTCTTCCATTTGAAGAGTAGCCTGTATTTAGATTTATATACATAGTATTGCCAGTAGAACGTATTGTGGGTGGGATCTGATTACCACAAAACTTGCCTAACATGGTACTGTTGCTATTGCTGCCATCATACACCTGCAGTTATTGGGACATATAAATATATATTTTTTAAAAAATTAATATATGGCAAACAAAGTTTTTTGGGGGATTGAAGTCTGCTTTTGATTATTTTATAGATAAGTTCATGTAGTTTTCTTGGAAATATGACTTAGGCTGTTATCAGCCAGCAATCAGTGTTCTTAAATGTTGCCTAATCATGAATGGGCTTAATGAGCCAGTCAAGATCAAAGGAATTGAACTCCTAGCAGCGTGAGCAGAGTTAGCCTGCAATACTGCATTTTAATATTGAGCCACCACAGCTCTACATATGAATCACTTCCTTGCTCCAAGGAAAATCTTGACCTCATTCTAGGAGATTGAAGATTGAAAAGAAAGGACTGGTTTAATAAGAGAGCAGATTCTCCCCATGCCAAAAGAAGAGGCAGCCTTTTTCCCATCCTACATCTTACATTATTGGCAGCTCCATCATTGATAGCAACTAAAGAGTTCAAGCTGATAAGGTTACAGGCATTTTTATAACCCCATCTTCCCAAGAGTTTAGCAATTCATAAATCTAACATCTTGAAAATAATTGAAAGGAAAAAACATCCTTTTTACCTAACAAGATTGAAATGAAGCTGAAGTGATATAGAGGTAGTCCTAGATCAGAGGTCTCCAACCTTGGCAACTTTAAGACTTGTGGACTTCAACTTTGCTGACTGAGGAATTCTGGGAGTTGAAGTCCACAGGTCTTAAAGTTGCCGACGTTGGAGATTCCTGTCCTAGACTAATGATTATAGCTGAGGTCAGAATTTCAATCATAATTTGTAAAAAGGGTCACAATGTAACCATGCCTGATTTTATGACCTTCATTAAGCAAACACATTGTTTGCTATTGGATGGCTTTTGCCAAAAACTGGAAATTATGCAAAAACATCATAAATTATGTTCACATGACTAGAGGATGCTGAATATAGCCATAAATGTGCACCAGTTACAGAGTGCCCAAAATAAATATTTATTCCTTCTGTATCTCCCCATGGCAGATGTAGGTAATACTCTTTTTCTTCTACCGTTTTTCTCCAACAATACGCTTCCCCCAATAGGAAGGCCCAGCATGTTTTCTAGGCATGAGGTGAAATTAAGCCCCTCCCCCCAAATTTAGGCCTATTTAAAACATGCAAAGTGGGGGAGAAGGGCAAGGGGGAACTTGCCGTTAGGATTGGCCTGCGGGCAGCCATGACTTGCCACCAGCCGCTCCTAATGGCCAATCATGGCGGAGCATGGAGGGCTCCCTCCCCCCACCAAGCGCCTTTGCTGCAGACCCGGGTATAGTGCTGGTTGCAGTCGGCAGTGGTGTGGATGTCAGTTTCAGCGGTGGCGGGGCACTTTGCACCGCTGCCACTTCCTCTGCCGCCATCGCTTTCCCTTCTGCCCTTGCTGCAGCTTATGCCATGTTCAGACTGTTTGGATTGGAAGGTTTGCCTCTGCTCGAAGGGCAAAATGGATAGATGGTTCCCTTTTTAAAACTACTGGGAGGGATGGGGACGAAGCTGCCCAGCCAGTCTGTATTCTTAGGCAACAGACGGAGGGAATGAGAATAAAGAAAACTTAAAAAGGGGGTAAAAGGTCCATGGGGGTGGATTCAGGCAGCTGGAACAGATAACAGATAATCAGAGTTGGAAAGGACCTTGTAGGTCATCTAGTCCAACCCCCCCATCCAAGTGGGACACCCTACACCATTTCTGACAAATGGCAGTCCAATCTCTTCTTGAAAGTCTCAACTGATGGCGCTCCCACAACTTCCAAGGGCAAGCTGTTCCATTGGTTGATTGTTCTCACTGTCAGAAAGTTTCTCCTTATTTCCAGGTTAAATATCTCCTTGTTCAGTTTCCATCCATTATTCCTTGTCTGGCCTTTGAGTGTCTTGGAAAATAGCTTGACCTCTTCCTCCCTGTGGCAGCCCCTCAAATAGTGGAAGACCGCTATCATGTCTCCCCTGGTCCTTCTCTTTACTAGACTAGCCAAGCCCAGTTCCTGCAACCATTCGTTGTATGTTTTAGCCTCCAGTCCCCTAATCATCCTGGTTGCTCTTCTCTGTACTTTTTCTAGAGTCTCAACATCTTTTTTGTAATGTGGTGAACAAAACTGGATGCAGTACTCTAGGTGTGGTCTTACTAAGGCTTTTAGAGTGGTATTAGTACCTCCCTTGATCTTGATTGTATCCCTCTGTTAATACAACTTAGGATTGCATTAGCTTTTTTGGCTGCTGCTGCTGCACACTGTTGGCTCATATTTAGCTCGTTGTCCACTAAGACTCCAAGATCCCTCTCACAGTTATTGCTATTGAACCTGGTTTCACCCAGTCTATAAGTGTACTTTTGTTTTTACTTACCTAAGTGTAGGACTTTACTTTTCTCCACATTGAATTTCATTTTGTTAGATATGGCCCAGTGTTCTAGTCTGTCAAGATCCATCTGGATCTTGAGCATATCTTCTTGGGTGTTAGCTATTCCTGCCAGCTTAGTATCATCTGCAAATTTGGTAAGTTCCCCTTCTATTCCCTCATCTAAGTCGTTAATGAAGATATTGAAGAGCAAAAGGAGAGCAAAAGGAGAGCGCCCAACCGTACAGGAAACGAGACCGTGACACGAAGCTCTAGGGTGCGAAGAAAAGCGAGGCATGGTAGGGGAAGGATGGCATCACTCTCCCACCGCCACTTCCACCCACTGAAGCCCGAATGACTCACTGACTTGCAGGACATTGTCGACGCAGCCACCATCAAGCAAAGTAATGCACCTGCGGGAGGGCAGGCGGTTCTTGTTGGCAGTGGGGTCTGTCCCACCGCTCCTGCCACTGTTGTTGGAGACAGCACTGGCGAGAGAAGTGCCACCGCCAGTGGGAACCGTGGAAGCTTACCAGGAAAGCTCCCCCTCCCAAGAAGTGACTGAAACACTGCCGCCCCACCTGAGAAGCAGCTGAAAGGCAGCCATGCTCAAGCCATTCCTCCACCCACTGGAAGGGCCACTTCTCCGTTACTGCCATGCCACGATGTCCAGTACAGGTTCCAGTTTCTGTGTCTTGACCAATGGCAGCAGTCTGAACATGGCATAAGCTGCAGCAAAGGCAGAAGGGAAAGCGATGGTGGCGGAAGAAGCGGCAGTGGTGCAAAGTGCCCGCTGCCACCAAGGCTGACATCCACACCACTGCCTACCTGCCCGCCCACTGACCTGCCTGCAGCCAGCATCATACCCGGGGCTGCAGCAAAGGCGCTTGGTGGGGGTAGGGAGCCCTCTGTACTCCACCATGATTGGCTGTTAGGAGTGGCTGTTGGCAAGGCTCCCAGGCTGCTCTAGGCGAGGATGCGAGGGGAGGGGAGAAATTAAGTCATCCCCGAAAAGATGGCCTAGCCGTTTTTTTTTGGGGGGGGGTCAAAAGAAAATAAGACCTGGCCTTATTTTCTGAGAAAAATGGTAGATATATAGATCTGAGATTACTCCCACAGTGGAAAACTTATATTGCATAAATTGATATTTCAGCTATTATTGTTAGCTATTATCAATCTTCCTCATAGAAGATAAGACTTACAGCAAGATAATCAAAGTAACAGGATGGATGAGACTCTAAATGGAACTGATCAAAATAGATTTCCAACACATTTCCATGACTTGACTTCAGCAGCCAGTAACATTTCATATTTTGGTAATAGGGCATAGGGTAGTTGGGAGACATGAATGTTCCAGAAGAACTTGTAAGGATTGCACCACAACCTGAAAATAAGTAGAAAATTCTAATTAAATGACAATTGGCCAACTCTATTTTTTCCCTAGTACTACATAGTCTCTATTTGCTTTTAGCAAAGTTTTGAATGGAATTAGTAATAATTATTTTTTAGGTTAAGCCCATACTTCTTATAACTTTCAATATGTTGATAACTTCTTGTTATCCACTTCTGAAATTGGAAAAATGAAATTCCACCTAAAGGTCAAAATACATAATTTTTCTTAATGTCCATGTAGACATTTATAGAGAGAAATGTAAGGATGCAAATATGTCTAAACTTCTAGATATCTGCCTGTCAATTGTCCATAATAAAAATGTGGCATAAATTATTATCTGTTTATTTATTTACATATCACCAACTGGTAAATATGATTGTAGTAGGCCTAAAGCGGTAAATTATCAAGCATATAATAGATGAATCCAGATACCCATAGCCTATTTCATTAAAATGCTTTGTCTCATGGAGAAAAATCATTTGATGTCCGTAGAACCTCATGACAAGGCCAGGCTTTGATGGATATCCTGCTTGATAAACTGGGGTTTCTGTGCATATGTATAAGTCACTCTCCCTGAGCCAAGCAACCCAACAATTCCATTTATTGGAAATGGAATGCTTAGAAATGGGGTAATGCTATGTATTATACAATTGTCTTGATCAACTTTATTTGAAATTCCAACAAAGCAACCTTTGGAAGATTTGTGGAATCTAAATATACAACAATTATATTTTAAAATGATGAGCAATGGGATTATGCAAAAAGAGAAAATTAAAAATGCAGTCCAGGAATGGAGTACTTTCTTCTGCCTTAGTTTTTGTCACAATTTTAAACCTGTATAGGATCATACACCGTTGAATCTCTCTTAGAATAGCGCTCTATCTCTGTGAGTCTGCTTCTGAAAATGCCTGAGTTTTTTTCCACATCAGGAACATTATGGCTTCTCACATAGATCTCAATAAGCCAGGTTTACGAGTTAAAGGGGTGGTGGTGATAATGATAAAAAAGAGAAAGAAACCAAGGAAAATGGCCAAGAAAAATGAACGATATCAATTATATTCCCTTCTTGTTACTTGTTAGAGAAATAATGTGATACATTCTATATTTTGATTTACCTGTTAATGTTCCATCCCAATAAGCTGAGAAGCCAGTACTTGTTGAAAGTGTATCACTCACAAACTTTATCCACAGGGTATTACCATGGGAAATGGTAACAGGAGGCAATGAGGAGCCACAATACTTCCCAAGCAAAGGAGATGTTTCATAACCTCCATTTCTTTAATCAAAAATCAATATACAAAAAAGGGGGAAATAATTAAACTTGAATCTCCAATAAGACTATATGTACAAAGCAACAAATGGGTTGCTTTAGCAATAAGAAAATTCTTTTTAAACACTTTTAAATTTAAAAACTCATTCAGACAATTAAATAAAAGCAAAAAAATTAAAACAATTTGTACTGTAGTGCTGATTTTTTAAAATTTAAAATATAGATAAGATTATTTAGTAGAACAAAAATCTTCTTTGACCTCTAGTTTTAATACCATTTCTATAAACTCCAGCCAACTATTTGGAATAGAATAGTTTATTTGGCCAATGTGATTAGGCACAAAAGGACACCAAATTAGATACACCAAGGCAACAGATTAAAGAAGGAATCTGAACATATTCAAAGGAATATGTATTCTATTACACAGAGACAACTCTATATACTGACTGAGCAAAGACAAAAAAAGTTGCTTAGACAATACTTAACCAATTTAAGAATGTTTAAGTAAAAGGAAGGAATATAAAGTTGGTTTATTTGACCAGGATTAAAACAAGATATATTACTTCTGGCAAGATTCTGTGGAATTTCTGTTGAAATCAGGAAAAGATTATGTTTTATGAATTTGTTTGTACTGTAGATAAGAGGTGGGATATGGGGTGAAACAGTAAATTGTTGTTAACCTTAGAAGGGATGGAGAGCCACTAACTTCTTTATAATTGTGAGGAAGGTTGGAATTCACTTTTTATACATTTCTTTTCCCTTTATTAAATCTTTACTTGTCTCTTTTGTTTCTCTTTTTTCTTGCACTTTTCCTCCTTTCTATTCACTTTTTAATTTAATTTTAATTTGTATTGTTTTATTATTATAATATTTTTTTAATATTCTGATAATATAATTCTTAATTCCTATATGGGAAAAACATGCTTCACTGGTTTATAGAATTTACTATCATTAGGGTGATTGTAAGTGATTTGGTATTGCCTCCTTATAGTGGGCTCTAGGAGGCAATACCAAATCACTTCTGAAATTTTGCCAAAAAATAAAAAATGCAGGGACATGTCCAGGCAGTTGTCAGGAGACAAACTGACTCAAAGGCAACACTCGCTCGCTCGCTCGCTCATTCACTTACTCACTCATGCTCACATAAATTTGAGTTTTTGCCAAAATTTGTGCCAGCAAAAAATAGTTGTCTGATTATTAGGGTTGGGAATAGGAAGCCTGTTGTACAATAGAATTTATCTAAGCTCTTAGCAAGGGCAGTTGGACAATGTAGCATGAAGTGTGATGGTATTATATAGAGAGTTGACGAAAGGAAGACTGCTATATAAACAGCCCAATACAAATGCACCAGATTTTTAAAAGACTAAATACTGCTGGGGAAGAACTTTCTGTATTAAAAAAAATTAAATGCAATTCCTAGCTCTTCTGTGTTGGTTTTTTTTGTTTTTTTGAAGAAATCAGTTAGGCTTCACAAATTTGTGGTATTTTGATCTTGTGTATTCCTTTGGGGAAGAATGCTCCTAATCCCTTCCTTAAATTCTTTTATATGCCTGTCCTAGAGAACCAGAAGATGGTTGCAATGGGATACGGGCAGGGGTAGGATTTTAACAATCAGTTATGTGGGCGTGGCTTGGTGGGTGGGTGTGGCTTGGTGGTCATGTGACTAAGTGGGTGTGGCCAACTCGGCATCACTCATGTCAAGGGGCGCTTCTCCTCACCTGGCCCCTCATGACAGTGGGGATGCTGCAACGGTCGTAAGTGTGAAAAATGGTCAAGTCACTTTTTTCAGTGCCATTATAACTTTGAATGGTCACTAAATAAACTGTTATAACTCAAGGATTACCTGTACAAAAATACAAAAAGCTTCTTTGCTTGCAAAAAGCTGCACTAAATACCAATTATTAGATTAAAAATACCTGCAAGTCCAAGTTACAAATCAGGTAGGGTACCAGAGTACCTTGAGGAATGAAAATAGTTAAAATGCAGTGATAACTATTAAGCAGCCATCTCTTGCTCCTAAAGTGAAACCCTTTAGCAGAGAGATCATTTACGCTCTCCAGAAAAAACACACCCAGGAAAAGCAATCCTTAGATCCATTTGCACCACTTAAAAATACCAGCTGGTCTCACTCACCTCACAAGATATCCTAAGGATATCATCCAGATTTAAGGAAAAGTCACATGCCCCCCAGAAAGACAGTACCAAGCTTGTATCCTGCGTCTTGGAAGTATACCCCCAAAGGACAGTGCCAGATAGTACTAAAGCAGTGAGGAAGACCCCCTCCCCAGATAGAGGCAGGAAAAAATTCAATCACAGTACAAATAATTAAATCACAACAGTAGCTGTTGCTTGTTGAAGCTGAATGGGGAAAATTATCCCATCATTAAACACAGGATTAAATGTCACCAAGCACAGAATTAACCTTCACCACAAACCAATTTTGGACCAAAACTCAGAAAGAGAATGTAAACTCACATTTGACTGTTAATCTTTCTAGCTAGCCAAGAAGCCTTGCGGAATGTCATTCATCTTGGTTGCCTGTCACTAAAAGCTTTGCTTCATTATTCAATTATTTCTTCAAAGTGCTGATTGTCCAGGGAAGTATTTCCTCCCAACAGCAGTGTAAAAATCTTAAAACAACCCTTCCCCTTTAAGAAAGTCTCAGAAGCTCTGGAGACAGGAAGTCTGGGCTGTCTGCCAAAAATGTAATAAGGGTGGAAAAAACAAAAGGAGATTGCTTCTAACTACCAGTTCTCCGAACTGCTTAGAAAGTTAACAAGGGGTTCTATAGAACCTGATAGAACCAGTGGGATCCCACCCCTGGATACAAGATAAAAAAACAATCACAGCATAAAACAGTTTCAAATACAATTATAGTCTTGTACAGTTCTTTTTTAAAAAAGAAAAAACTGGACAGCCACCTATCTAAAATAGTATCAGGTTCCCTATTGAGCAGAGGGTAGGACTAGAAAGATCTCTGCAGTACTTTCCAGCTCTATTTTGATTGATTGATTGATTGATTTGACTCCTGGCTTACAGTTCCATTAAATGAAGTAGTTAATTATTCAGAGGTATCAATATAGTCAAATAGAAATCAACTTGCCTAATTTCAAGATAATCATGCCGACACGTGAAGTCCTCCTCCAAAGAGAAATAGGTGAAATTCAAAGCAATTTGTTTGTTCTTTGCCACATGGATCTTGTATATGCATACCATTTTGTCTGGATAGTTATTTGGATAGTTTGGTGATGTTAACATACCAGAGGCTGTCGTATATTCATGTGAACATGCTAGAAAAAACAACAGAAAAGTACATCGATAAAATAATAATAATCACAGATATCACAAAGTATTAAGTTCTGAAAATCAAAGATGAAAGATTGCATAAATTGTTGCTAGAGCCCAGTGGTTTTCTACATACTTGGTACAATACAAAAAAAATCTTGGCGACACTTCAAAATCCACACGGGCAAAATTTCCATCTGTCAATTACAAAAAGCCACATTGGATGAGGGTTCTGTGTCAGAGTCAGAGATGGAGCCAGGGCAGGCTGGCAGTCATCAGCTGCCTTCGGGCTCGGACAGCAGTGAGGCAGGGAAGCTTCCCTGGAAGCATGTGCAGAGCTGTCAAAGGGTGGCACAATTAAGAACTCAGGGTTGACATGGGAGTAAGGACACAAGTGGATAATGAATGGTCCCTCCCATCAGGATTAAAAGAGAAGCAAAAGGGGTGGGGGCTTTTGCAGGAATCAACTTGCTCGTTCGTTTATTTGTTCCAGCCTCGTGGAGATTTGTCTGTATAATCCAGCCTTTCCCTGCCAGCATTGAGTGTGGAACTATTTACTGGGCAGCGTTCCAGGACTGATAAAAGTCTGAACTCATTAGTATACCTTCACAAGACTGTTTGCTGGCTGTGAATGAAATAAATTCACATTAATGTAATAAAAAAGGTTTTTTGCCGGGACTCAGAATTGACAGTGCTTTTTGGGGAGGCCTAGGAGAGAACACCACCTTAGCTGCTGCAAGAATATAGACTGATTATAATTAATGACATGACAAAGTAGCAACAACAGTGCATTGGAGTATTTACAAGAAATATCACTTGCCTGGTGGAACCACCAACAGATAAAGTAATAGAAAATGAAGAAGTTAAATCGTATAGGACTTTAGAATGCAAACAGATAGGTATCTGTCACATAGCACACTAGACAACAATTGTTGATAAGATACACAAAATAGTCTGGATTTAGATAATGGATATTGCAATACCAAAAAAATTATATCCTGCGACCATAACTTTAACATAATTAAACATCTGCCTGTCTTAGATTCTTGGGAAGTATTTGATGGATGCGCAAAAATGCCAAAACCAGTCTAAACATTTGGTTGACTATGTGACCAGCTGTAATAATAAATATTGAATATCAGAACTTGCTAAAAGGATAGAACTGAAAACCACCTTTATTTTATTTATTTTGTCAAGCGATTGTAAGATAACAGGTATAACATAGTTATGAATACATGAAATGGATACATATAAGAAAAATAAAAAGAAACAATAGGACAGGGACAGTAGGCATGTCGGTGCACTTATGCACGCCCCCTACAGGTCTCTTAGGAAAGGGGTGAGGTCAATAGTAGACAGTCTAAGGTTAAAATTTTGAGGGTTTGGGGAAGAAACCACAGAGTCAGGTAGAGTATTCCAGACATTGATCACTCTATTGGGGTAGTCCTATCTTTCATTCTCAATTAAAAAAAATAAAAGATGGTGCCCTCTAATATCTCAACTAAGATATACATTTAAGTGAAACATTAGCAATGGACAAAAGAGATAGTGACTTAAGTTTCATTAAAAAATCATTTCAGTTTAATAGTGCCATACTATAGAAAAGCTGTTTTTCTTTTTAATTAAACAAATATGAACTAAGTTGACAAAAAGAAACCTGGTTTCTAATTTCAATAATGTTTTTTTCCCTAGTATTTATTTTATGCTTTGTTTGAAAGGACATATCAAAACTTGGAAGATGACACATCTGGTAAAAAGCTGTATCATACTCAAGTGGAAGACTCTTCTTATTCATATGGCTTTCCTGACAATTCAAGACACTCTTTTAGCATTTTTTTTTAAAAAAAACAGGTGATCATGTGAGAGTTGCTTATCTCACTAAATTCCAACAGCAAATTAAAATCCTCTTGCCAGTGTTTAATTTCCGATTCTGCTATTTTAAAAAAATATTCCATCTTATATAAAAAATCATTTCAGTTGAGTTCCCCAAGGTAAACAGTTCTATTATAATGTTATTTGTAAAAATCCAGGATGCTTTCAGATAGATTGCTCTGAGGACTATTGATCAAAAGACTTTGCTTTTTCCTACCTAAAGAAAAAGGAAACACAGGAAGAGATGATAAAAAAGGGGAAACCTATAAAAGGAAGATTCATTTTGGGATAATACAATGCTTTAGATATTACTTTGAAAGGATGGTTCTTATACACCCAAAAAGGAATTAGCATCTTACTATCATTCTTTAAAGCAGCAACAGCTGTTCTCAGAATTGTGTTCAGCTGTGAAGGACAATCACACTGTTATAGGAAAAAGACCAGTTATTTTAAATATTTTGCAGGAAAAAAATGCTATATATATTCAATCAATATGAAAGGCTTTGTATGAAGATACCTTGAAAACCCTATAAATGTTTTATTTGGAAACATCCTATTCTCTTATAATCCTTTCATAATAACATGTGAATATAATTATGGGAGCATAGAATTTAGCTGCCCATTCTATTTTCCCAAAAAGAATCAGCTGGCTTCTGATCAAAATATTTGAGACTTTCCACAGAACTCAAGAAGGGATTTAGAAATCTAAGGAGCAATGGAAAGTGGGCTGGAACATGCATTTTGCTCAGTATTGCACAATGGCTACACAAGATTAAATACGAATGACTAAAATGATTAAATATGAACATTCTTCTTGGCTAGCTTTCTTGCTTGCAGTTCCATCCAAAACCGCTACAGTAACTCCTCTGTTTCCCATGCTTCTTACTGAAGCAAGGAAAATCTTTTGGTAATGCAGCATTCAGCTATTGGATTGAACACTCCTAAAGTGAATTAAAAACTAAGTTTTATTCTGCATTTTTTGTTGGGCAGCGAAGCCCCTTAGAAGTTTCATGGTGTTAACAAAACATAGAAAAACTTTTATTGTGTTAATTTTCAACATATGAATTACATACTGAAAGAAAAGAATGATTGTACGCCATAATATATGAACAAAGTTTGTTCAATATACAAAAATGGAAAGATGTAGCTGGCTTTCAGTCCAGTCAGTCAGAATAATCAGATTAGCTCTACAGTGGAAAGAACAATGACACTACTGGATGATAAACAGTAAAAACAGATAACAGAAGATTAAAACATGAGTTAGTTGCTGCTTGCTGATCTATGCTTGCACAACAAAGCTAGGAAAAATGAGGCAGACATATTTCTTTTCATCTGTTTTCCAAAAATGAAACATATATTATTCTAAATGCCAAATGAAAATTCTTACATCTTTGATTATTTTTTTAAAAAATCTGATCTCTCATAGTCAAGGGATATTGACAGCTTCCTAGAGAATTAGCAATTTGTATTATTTGTAACTTCCTCCAAATTTTCTTGCATCCATAGAACATATTCTTTTTCTGAAGGCAATGGAAGTATTGGCACTTGGAATCTTGTCATTGTTGACATAAGGCAACATAATTAATTTAATCTGACCAATTCAGGGAAGAGGACTGCAAACAATGAATGATTTTGTGCAGAGTATGGTGTTCATTTTCATATATTGTACATTCACCCAAGAAACCTTAAGTAAAATCTTCTACCCTGAGCTCATGTTCCTTTACTGGACAAGACAGATTTGCTTTCAACTGTTTATGATCTAGATACCATCAAAGGTAGGGGTGTCAAACTCATGACATCACGTGGTGGTGTCACATAATGTATTGGGACTTTTCCCCCTTCACTAAACTGGGCATGGGCATGGCCAGGGTGTGATGCATATGGCCCATGGGCCGGGAGTTTGACACCCCTGGTGTAAGTGGAAATTATTCTCAGATAGGGAATCGCTGCTATAAAGTACAAAATGTCCTCTTCACCCTCTTATTAGAATCTCTGAAACGTAAACATATATCCCAAATTGCTCAAAAGGTGAAATAAGAAAGAATGAAAAAGGATTGCTCTATGATAAGGAGATTCCTAATTAGTTGGAAAAGACATGTTAGATACAGTAATCTTGGAAAGATTTACTCCAAATGGCAATTTTTTCAATCTTGGCTGTCAGAATTGTGCATCCTATTTAAAAAGATCCAAAAAATACAAGAACTTATAACTTAACTAATACTAAACTAATGCCAAGTGTGGTTTGACTGGACTATTGCAAGCAAGGGTTATCATAAGGCACACCAGAAAATGAACAAAAATAAGAATGTATAATTTTATAACTATTAAAGGCTAAGCACTTGGTTTATCAAACTTAGTTAAAATTGTTGTATTATGTGTGTACAGGATTGGGCTGAACAGATAAACCATAGATTGAGCATTGTGCTATAACTGCAAAAAGTAGTCAGTCCAACATTAATCAAGATACAAAGTTGAGATCACAAAATTGATTGATAATTCTGTACTACCCTGTGGGGTACCTGGAATACTGAGTCCAGTACAAGAAGGATGCTGAGGATTTAGAAAGGATAAGAAACAGCCAAAATGGTGAAAGGCTTGGACCCAGACTTCTATGAAAAATAGTTAAAAGAACCATTTCCCACACTATGTTTAGCATGGAAACAAAGCTAAGGAGAGATATAACAGCATTATCCCAATACTGAAATGTATAGTTCCATAGGGAAGACAGTTTGGATTTACAGGTAGTCTTCTGTTGACAATGGCATTTGAGTCTGACTTCTCCACTGACTTTGCTTGTCAGCTGTCAGTAAAGTCACAGATGGTTATCATGTGATTATAGGATAGTAAAATATCATAATTGTGAGTCATGTACTTAGCTCCCAACTCACAATCACATGACTAAGGAGATGCTGCAAAGGCCAGAATTCATCTGAGGGTAAGACAAAAACTAGTGGGTAGAAGTTTTACAAAGAAAAATCAACAGAGAAAATAAGAAGAAATTTCATGGTGACAGTTATGAAGCAGTAGAGTAGCCTGTTTTCTGGAGCTGTTGGTGCTTGCATTACTGGAAGTTTTTGTACACAAAGTTAGGTAACCATTTGTCTAGGATGCTCTGAGGATTCCTGATCTAGGTAGGGGATTGGATTTAGTAACTCTTGTTCTTTTTAGTCCATCATAAATGTTTACTAATGATATAAATACCATTAAAGATCTACAGAATTAGCATCACTTTGAACAAAACCTCCAAATGTAACAATTAAAGCTAGAGGATCAGAGATCCCAATCAGATTCTGCTGTTATAACTAATTTGATGATTCCTAACTGGATTTGTAAAGACTGAAGAAGGAGGCAAACATTTTCACACCAGGGATGCCAATTACATAGATATATTTCAGAATCACTAAGTACCATGCCAATATCTTATTAATACATAGAAAGGACAAGAGAAAGGGGCAATAAGATCAAATCACCATTGGTTTAAGAGTTATTTGTACAATCTGCAGTAAAATTCATCTCTAGTCAGAAGCATCTGCAGAGACAGGGCAAAAAAGGGCAAAAAGATGGCATTGTCCCAGCTAGGATATTGACAGAAAAATACAGGATATTATAGAATAAAAATGAGTAGGCAGAGAAACAATTAAAAAAATATGGATGAATAAGTGAGTGACAGCTATATATATATCAGCCCCAGCCAATGAAAAGAGAGAGATGCTGTACTTCAGCAATATTTAGATAGAAAAACAACAGTTCTCTACCTCTAATTTACCATATTGCAAGCAGCATTCTTCTATTGCAAGAGCCATAGCATGGATCACACCAATGAAACCAAGTTACATAGGCCTTAAAGCACACAGGTTCAGACTACATATTATTATAAAGTAAGGAGGCCAGCTTTTTCCAAGTTTAAGGGCTAAAGAAACATTTATTTTAATAAAAATTGACATCTGATTCTGTTTGGGTATAACAACTTTGGAAATGCATTTCTAGATAAGATTTTGTTCTGTTCCTGTTTTGTTTTAGTTACTTGTCTGTTTTGGTATGCTTTCATTTCCTAACTCATTCATAACTGCCAGATTTTCAGTAAATATTATTCCAGAGCTATCAGTTTAGAGGAACCTGCTATTTCCTGAAAGACCCATTGAATTTTGAGTATGCTCAGAGAAAGGAAATGTAGAATACATTTCTCTGTTGTTTGAAAGGTATATAAGCAACTATTCATGATATGGCCTTAACTGCTTTGCCCAGAATGCTATGCACTACCAATAACTTTTGTCTGCTATAGTTACAAATCATTTAGTTAATTGGATGTCATCAAGTTTGGTTTAGCTCCTGGTAACTGCACAATTACTTCAAATTAGCTACAGATCAATGCAATTCTAAAAAAAAAAATCTAAATGGTTTAATTGATCTCTAGCACTGCCTTCCTTGTCAAAAAGGGGAAAATATTTAAAAAGTTGGAGGAAATAAGATAAAACTGCTTTGTTCTCTAAAACCTCACACTAATACAGACACATTCTATAAAATCAGGTAAAGGTTGTGTACATAGTTTCCTGAACCCCCACCCCCATCTTTTAAAAATCCTTGTCTTCTGGGTCAAGTGACCAGAATAGAATAGAAAAGAGGGTAAATATGGAAGAATTGATATCTTTCCATTGACCAACTCTTTCTCACATGAATGAATTGATGGGGGTTGATTTTCCTTTCCATTGTTTTTCCTTCATAGCTCCCAGATGAATACAGACCATTTCCAAACTCCACCTTTTTTCTTTTTGCTACTTTCTCCCCAAAGAAATTTTAGTTCCAATCTGTCTACTTTTTTAAAAAAAAAATCCTGTTGATGGACAGAAAGTTGATCCCATTTATGAAATTTCTTTCCAACATTCTATTCAATAGAAAGAACAAAAGAGCAAGCTAATATTAACAAGCAAAACTGTATACTCTAAAAAAGATATTAAACTAAGACCATATGTTTTAAATTGTTTATTTATTTTCAAGATATGTAAGACCTCCCAACTCAAACAATATGAGTCTGGACAACATGTTGCATATACAACTAGTAATACAAGATAATAGGTATAAGTATAAATATAGTTATGAATACATGAAATGGATACATATAAGAAAAATAAAAAGAAACAATAGGACAGGGACTGTAGGCATGTTGGTGCATTTATGCACGCCCCCTACAGACTGCTTAGGAAAGGGGTGAGGTCAATAGTACACAGTCTAAGGTTAAAATTTTGGGGGTTTGGGGAAGAAACCACAGAGTCAGGTAGAGTATTCCAGACATTGATCACTCTGCTGCTGAAGTGGTATTTCCTGCAATCAAGTTTGGTGTGGTTTACCTTGAGTTTGTATCTATTGTGTGCTCTTGTGTTGTTATGGTTGAAGCTGAAGTATTCATTGATAGGTAGGACATTGCA